GGATGTGTGTGTCCTGACTGATCAGGAGAGGGCCTGGAGCTCCTTGTGGGACCCTCCCAGACCTTGTACCTTGTGTCTCCATTTGGCTGGGCCTGATTTTCATCCTTTATAATATAACTGTAATTGAAGGTATAGTGCTTTCCCCAGTCCTGAGTCATCCTAGCAAATTATCAGACCTGAGGGAGTAGTGGAACCCCCACATTTGTATCCATTTGGTTAGAAGTGCTGGTGGCCTGGAAACCCATGAGCTTCCGGCTAGTGTCTGAAGGGAGAGCAGTCGTGTGTGTGTGTGTGTGTGTGTGTGTGTGTGTGTGTGTGTGTTAGGGGCGGGGTGGGGGGGTGTCTGTGCCCTTCACCTGTGAAAGTTGACCATCCCAGTTGGTTAGCATGAGAATTGCACTGCAGCAAGTATCCAGGAAAATAGCACAGGAGTATGGTACTAATGGCACACGCTTTGGGCAGTCTTCTACTAAACCTGTCCCGACCCTTTGTTAATCCCCTTCAGAGACCATATTTCAGAGGGAAATACCCCAATACAGGGGGTGGGATCCTAATCTATAAACTGTTATGTATGGAGTGTCTGTCCATGACCAGACATAACTAAGCAAAGTTTGATATATTATTTGGCTGGAATACCATAACCATTTAGTTTTTTTCCCTCAACCATATTATAGACAAGCGGACTATGTTCAACCAAGGAAAATTGTGTCTGATATAGTAAAATAAAAATATAACAATTGATTACAGCAACATAAAAACATAGTCTATATCAAGAGGGATCAGGTGTGAATTTAAGGTGAAAAAGTCTAGGGTTTTCTGTACTCCAGGTTCTTTTCCTCTGTGAATTTAGGTTCATAATAACAATTTTAGTGTGTTTGTTTAAAACAAAACAAACTACCTTGCAGTATACAAGTTAGAAGCTGGGAAGCAAGAGTGTGCCTCCTGCACTTCCCAGCCAGTCTCCAGAGTTCACATTTTCATTCATTGTTTTGGACGTCTCTCCCTCTGCATATAAAATAGCAATCATGGTTGTGAGAATTGCTAACTTTTCTTGGGCATTTCCTGTGTTCCCGCTAATACAAAGCAGTGCATTATGCCTTCTTCCTTGTTAGCTTCCTCCTCAGTGCCTGCCACATAGCAGACATTTACTAGATCTTTTTTTGAATGAATTCATTATCTGATGTGATCCTGAGAACAACCCTATTAAATAGGTTTCTATTCTTTTTTTTTTTTTTTTTTTCTTACACAACAGAAATTTATTTCTTATCGTTTTGGAGGCTGGAAGTCCAAGATCAGGGTGCCAGCAGATTCAGTGTCTGGTTTGCAGACAGACACCTTCTTGCTGGTTCCTCCTCACATGGTTTCGAAAGAGATTATCTCTCTCATGTGTCCTTTTTTTTTTTAAATTGAATTTGTTGGGGTGACATTGATTAATAAAGTTATATAGGTTTCAGGTATACAATTCTATAATACATCATCTGTATATCACCACCCCCAAGTCAAGTCTCCTTTATCCCCGCCCCTTACCCTCTTCTGTCTCCACCCCCCTTTCCCTCTGTTGTCTATGTTCCCATATGTTGTCTGTGTCTGTGAGGTTTTTTGTTTTGTTTTGCTTAATCCCTTCATCTTTTTTCACCCAGCCCCCCAAAACCTGCCTCCCCTCTGACAGCTGTCAGTCTGTTTTTTGTATCTGTGGATTTCTAGTCTTATCCTTGTTTTTCTGATGAAGAAACTGAATCCTGGAGAAATTAAATTACATTCTTAGGTGGCCATGTAGCAAGTGAATTGTATACTAATCAATTCACCCATTTAAAGTGTACAATTCACTGATTTCTAATATATTCACAGACTTGTACAGCCATCACCATGATCAATTTTAGGACATTTTCATCACCTAAAAAAGTAACCCTACACCCATTAGCAGTCACTCCCTGTTTCTCTGAACCTCCCCAGCCCTTGAGAAGCACTAATCTACTTGCTATCTCTATGGATTTGCCTATTCTGGACTTTTCATGGAAAAGGAGTCATAACTTGTGGCATTTTGTGACTACTTTTGTTCACTCGGCACAATTTCAAGGTTCATCCATGTTGTAGTGTGTGCCGACCTCACTCCCTATTATTGCGGTTTAGTATTCCAGTACATGGGTAGGCCATGTTTGTTTATCCAGTCATCGGTTGATGAACATTTGGGGTTGTTTCCACTTTTTGGCTATTGTGAATAATGCTGCTATGAACATCTGTTTTCAAGTTTTTGTGATAACTCTCTCATTTTTGAGGAGCTGCCAGTGTTTTCGACAGCAGCGTTTTATATTCCCGTCAGCAATTGTGTGAGGGTTCTGATTTCTCCATATCCTCTCCAACATTGTTATTGTCCGTCTTTTTCATTATAGCCGTTCCCATAAGTTGTGAAGTGGTATCTCTTTGTGGGTGTGTATTTTCTCTCTATGGTTTTGGTTTACATTTCTTTAGTGGCTAATGATGTTGAACATTTTTTTTATGTGCTTATTGGCCATTTGTAGATCTTTGAAGTATCTACTCATATCGTCTTCCCATTTTAAAAATTGTCTTTTTATAATTGAGTTTTTAAAATATTTATTTTTCTAAATACAACTCTTTTATCGGAGATAGAATTTACAAATACTCTCTCTCCTTCTGTGGGTTGTCTTTTTATTTCCTTGATGGTATTGTTTGCAACAGATTTTTAATTTTGATAAAGTCCACTTATCTATTTTTTATTTTGTTACTTATGCCTTTGGTGTCTGATCTGAGAAGACTTTTTGCCTGACCCAAGATTTACTCATATATTTCCTTATAAGAGCTTTGTTGTTTTAGCTTTTATATTTAGGTCTGTGGTTCATTTTGAGTTAATTTTCATTTGTGGTTTAAGGAAGGGGACTTTTTTTTTAAATATGTTTTTATTGAATTTTTAGAGCAAGAGAGAGTAACATCCATCGCTGCCTCCTGCACACCCCTTACTGGGGATTGAGCCTGAAACCCAGGCATGTGCCCTGACGGGGAATCAAACTGGGACTTAGTCCGTGGGGTGACACCCAGTCCACTGAGCCACACCAGCCAGGCTTGAAATATATATATATTATTTTTTTTTGTCCATTTCTTTCAGGTATTTTCTTTAGGATAAATTTCTACAAGTTCTGTTGCTGAATCCAAGAGCCATTAGCAATTCGCTGTTCCATCAAGAGGCTGCCCTTGCCGGGACTCTGCTCTGGAGTGCTGTCATTCCTTCTCTCTTCCACCTGGTCTCTTCTGGGAATGCTTCCTGTTTTACTTCACCGTCTTTTTTTTTTTGGTATATGCCCCTAGCAGGAATTGAACCCAGGACTCTCTGGTCCACAGGCCGACGCTCCAACCGCTGAGCCAAACCGGCCAGGGCTCATTTAACTCTCTTATTGGAGATGTCACACTGCTTCTCAACCATCCTCTAGCCTTTTTTGTTCTGGGTGTGGCTTGTTCATTCCTGTGCCATTCTTTTAGGTTAGACTTTTAACTAGATGGTGGGTGAAGCTACCGTTTTGGAGAAGGGTCGTGAAGTTATCAGCCAGTCTCATTTGGAGCTGTTGTCTTGTTGTAAGTTTGTACTCGTGGCTCTGACGGCTAATGTCAGCCATGTTGCAAATGTAGTGAACATTGACAGGTTTACATGCACAGTGCACTTCATACAAATCCTCTGAGTGATGGAAGCAAATCGGTCCTTAAATGGGTGACTGATGCATGATTTTGTGTGAGGCTCTTAATCATGCAAGGAGATCTGAGTGTTTTGTGATGTTACATTGTTGAAATATATTTCCCAGTGTTTGAATATTCACTTTAGACTACTGTGGTTGTTTTTTTTTTTTTTGTTTTTTTTTTTAAGAACTTGAATAGAAATACAAAGAGGTGAAGATGTCAGTGTTGTGGCCAAACACTATGGCATGAAACCAGAGATTGAAAAATCTAAATTAGCAAAATCCAAATCAGTTTTAACAGTCAAGCCAAACCAAAGGCAAACAATATTTTCATTGTTAAAGAAGGAAATAGGCTTCCATGAGGCTCCTATACCCTGATACCCGTCTGAAGGGGCTTTTGAAAATGCTCCCAATGCTCTGGCCAGTGTCAGCAAAATACAGCTGAGACTGTCAGGCAGGACAGCTCATGCTTTGTATGGTGTCATGCTTCAAAGTTAGGACTGACTTTTAATTAAATATATGTGGATTTATCTTGCAGTGTTTTACCATATATTTTGTTTTACTCTCTTTTAATGTTTTCTGTCAGGTGTATCAGGTAGAAATCATTTTTATGTGCTATTGCAATATATAATCTTAGATTGGTTCATAATAATAACCATAATAATATATGTTGATCATATGTACAGGGTGAGGCAAAAGTAGGTTTACAGTTGTTCATATGGAAAATAATACAATTAATAAATAATAGTATAAGAATAAACTCATACTCACAAATTTCAGTTGTGAGTATAAAAGTTTATTCTTATACTATTTTTGCTACACCGTTTATAATTTTTTTTTTCAATGAAAAACCTCTGAAACTTTTAGTAGAACCTTTTCAGTGAAGTGATGTTCTTTTTATTATTATGATCACTTGTTACTGTCAAATATACAAAGTATTATGAAAAATACATAACAACTCATGATTTGGGGAATTCCCAAAACTTCAGATTTCTAATTTCTGAATCTTGAAGATTCATATCTATTAGACATTTGGAGACACTAGATTGAGGTTGGCCTTCGTGGGCTAGCCTGGGACCCAGTGCTGGGTATAATGTTGCCCATGGGCTTATGTTTTCGGAGTTACCCTTGCCCTGCTTTACACAGGGACTCTATCAGTTCATTTGGGTCTTTTCAGTTTATTTCAGGCAATTACTTTATTATTTTCTGTTTGTTGATAAGCTGATGTTGGAATTCATCAAAGAACTGCTTGGTTTTCTCTTAATTCTTCGCAGAGGTGATGGCCTCGTTGCTCAGCATAGCTTTCTTTTCTCACAGGGCATTTTAGAAGCGTCAAAGGCCAGAGCCATCCCTGTCGTCATTGATGCAGTGAGTGTGGCCTCTCTTCTCCTGTCCCCTCCTCACAGCTGGGTGCCCAAGGCATGCAGTAAACGGGAGTCCTTGTTCTGTGCAGGACGGGCTGTGGCTGATTGCTCAGCAGCCACTCCTCATTCAAGGCTATGAAAAGGCCGTTCTCACTCCCAACTACATGGAGTTCAGCAGACTCTTTGAAGCTGTGGTGAGTTTGTTGACCACCCGAAAGAGTGTAAGCCCTTATCCTGAGGAGGGCGAGGGACATGCTCTGTGGTTCTGTGCCCATTGGTCCCCTTGGGTGCGTCTGCAGGGACAGACTTGCAGATGTTGAGTGGACGCATGCATATTCTACGGTGCATGTTGCACATGCTAATAGTGTTTTGTATTTTTTCTTGGTTGTGTGCATAATGATGGGACATCTTCCAGTCAGTGCATGTTTGATTTGGAGGAAAGGCAGGATGGTGGGCTCTGGGGTTAGCCATCCCTTCCGTTGTGTACTCTGGGCATAACTCCATCCCTATCCTGTGTTGCCTCATCTGTGAAATGTGGATAATGATAGCATCTGCCTCATAGGGTATGTGAGGATGAAATGAAATAGTATATGTAAATTCATGAGTCCTTATATTATCAAGTGCCCCATAAATGTTAGTGCATTATCATTTGAGGTTGAATCCCTTCTGCAAACCTTTATTTATTTTTCCTCACCCAAGGACATTTTTGCATTTATCTTCAGATTGAGCGGGAGAGAGAGAGAGAAACATCAACATGAGAGAGACACATCAAGTGGTTGCCACCCACGACCCCAACCAGGGCCGGGGACAAACTGCATCCGAGGTATGTGCTCTTAGTGGAAACCGAACCTGGGACTCTCCAGTCCACAGGCCGATGCTCTAACCACTGAGCCAAACTGGCCAGGGCAGTTCTGCAAACTTTTAAAGTCCCAGCCATGACCAGTGTTCTTTACCTTTGGTCTGACAAGGTAGGGGACAGGCACCAGAGCAGTATTCTACCTCGAGCCCCTTTGTTGGCATCCACCTGGAGAACACGCTGCCCATGATATCCTGGGCCTCTCCAGCGGGTGTAGAATGCATGTCTTTGTGTTGGGGTCTGTCTTGTGGTTGGGGGACTCCCTTAGATATGAGAGTCTGAGGATCAGGATGGATGGGATGAATGTTCATTGTATCCACATGTATTTGTGGGCGCAAGTGTCTAATGACAACTTTGTCTGTGGTGTCCTACATTGTAGCTGAGAGACCCCCTGGACAGCAGTGATCGCCGTGGAGCTGTGCTGAGACTCAGCCAGGCCCTGGGGAATGTGACCGTGGTCCAGAAAGGGGAGCAGGACGTGATCTCCGACGGCAAACAGGGTGAGTGGCCTTGGGCTTCAGCCAGTGTGGCCATGCTGGGTAGAAGCCGTAGGAAAATCTCTTTCACACACAGTATAAGTGGTGCACAGTGAGTCACATTCTTACATCATATGTAGTCACTCATATCTTACACGCTCACATGTCATGTGTCACGTTTCACAGAGGGACTTCCTGATAGCTCATTAACCACAACTTCTTCAAAGTCCATTTTCATTTTTTACTATTTTGCACACTGACAGTCATCAGTGTTGATCTTGGTTGATACCAGGGGCAATGGCTACAGTTCTGTTACGGGTGAGAAGCAGCAGCCCAGTAGGAAGGTGGCTGTAACAGCAGGTGGTGCTCCAGAGTTCACCACTTGCCACTCTGTCTTTCCTGCAACATAAATGAAGTTAATTTGAATATTTTACTGCATTTTGTCCTATTTTATTAAATGATTAGAAAGTCTCTTATGCTTTGAAACGACATGAGGGACCTGGAAAGTATTATCCTAAGTGAAACAAGCCAAACAGAGAACTACAAGTATCATATGATCTCACTTATTTGTGGAATATAATGAACATAACAGTCTGAGGAATGGGGCAGTCCCAGAGACGTGGAAGTGGGGTACAGACTGACAGTCCCCAGAAGAGGGGGCGGTGGGGGAGAGATAAACCACAGAATTTATATGCATGTGTGCATGAACAGTGGACATGGACAACAAAGCTGGGGACAGGGTGGGGGGGGAATCAGTGGGGGGGGGAGAAACATCTGTAACAAAAATAAGTTAATAACAAAAATAGGTTAAAAAGAAAATAAAAATGATTAGAAAGTGAAGAAACTCTAGGAGCTGACACTAATGGTGGGAATCACCAGGTGCTGCATGTGACAAATCTTCCAGTCACATTTCTTCCCACAGGAGCCTGTGGACCACTGAGTGAGAGCAAGGTGGGCTTTACACTTGCTCATATCTCCATAGTGAGGGGCACAGCCAGAGACTGCAGAACATCTCTAGCTTCCTAAAAACCGAAAAATCTGATCCACAAGCAAAGAGCTCACCAGTTATTTTAACAGAATTTAATACAAAGAATGGTCGCCTAGGTATAGCATTGCTGACTAGGTCACAGAAATCAGGGCCACAAGGGAACAGAAGGCCTCCTTAGTCACATGTGTCTCACTTTGTCTCTCTCACAAGCTGTGCAGAAGACAGAGTGTTCTCTGAGGGATCCTGAAACCTCTGGGTTCTCTTATTGCTAATAGGTGCTCTAGACTCTAACACATTCAGAATACATCAACCTGTTTCCAAGATATTTTCCAAAGAAACAGAAATGTCCTATTACACAGCAGAAGTGAAGTTCTGATGATTATCAGCTGAGTCCAGGTGCTAGTGCTGTGTTCATCTTTTTATTTAATCCTCTCTTGAGGTTATTTTTTCCATTGATTTTTAGAGAGAATGGAAAGGAAGGAGGGAGGGAGGAAGAAAGAGAAACATTGACGTGAGAGAGACACATCGATTGGTTGCTTCCTGTATGCACCCCAACCAGGGCTGGGGATGGAACGTAAAACCCAGGTATGTTCCTTTGACCAGGAATCGAACCTGTGACCCTTTGCTCTGCAGGCCAGTGCTCTAACCACTGAGCTACACCAGCCAGGGCTGTGTGCATCTTCTTGAAGGTGGATTCTCTGCAGTGTGAGGTGTCATGGTGGGCTTGGGCGCCTGCACAACTGAGGGCCTGTGTGTGCTGTCCGTGTCCTTCTCTGATCTCTGTTCCAGCAGATCCCTCAGAGGTCGTGAGTCACATGTTCACTGACCACCATACTAAACAGGTGGTTCTGGGGCAGCCTGACCTCTGCCTGCCTTGGTTTCCTCTCCTGTAAAAGATAGGTTTCCTTGTTAGGAACAAGTGGGGAAGAGCTATAGATGACCTGGAACACGCCTTGAGCAGAGACGAGCCCCTCATTCTAACTCTTGTCTCACTTTTGCTCTGTAGTGCTCGAGTGCAACCTGCAGGGCAGTAACCGCAGGTGTGGTGGGCAAGGAGACCTCCTGTCAGGCTCCCTGGGCGTTATGGTGCACTGGGCACTCCACGCTGGATCTGAGAAAACAAATGGGTATAGCCATATTTTTATCTATCCTACTTTGAAATTTTTGAACTGTGGAAGCTATTAGTAGCTCATACATTTCATAAGAAGCCACTTGAACATTCCAAATGAAATATGTGTGTTACTGTTACATGGGAGATATCCCAGGGCAGGGGTTGATCCCACAGTGTTCACCTGGGGAGCTTTTCCTCCATATATCTGGGCCCCTTTCTGTCATTTGATACAGATAAGCTCTGGGGCACCCCTAGCTTTTAAAGCTCTTTGCTAACCCTAAAGTTTGAGAACACTGTTCTAGGAGGTTGGTTGCAAACCTGCTGTAAAACAGATTAAGAAAATGCAGGCCGAGGTAGAGCTTACTTTGATGCTGTCTTGAAAGATGAGTGTTCTTTAAGAGGCAGCAGAATTCTGGGCCCGCTTCTGCTTCAGACAGCTTTGTGAGTGAACTCTGGCAGTTCCCACCTCTCTGTGAGCCTCAGTTTCTCTTCTTTGCACCCTTCATGATGACAGCAATGGCCACACTTGCCGGGGTGGGATGTCCCGGGTCCAGGGCAGTGCTGGGCCCGTGAGGTTGTGACATACCTGGCAGGCAGGGGGAGCCACCCATACGGGCCCAGGAGGGTGTGTACACGGAAAGGAGAGCTATAGGGGAGCGATGGCAGGAAGGGCCTGCATTCTCAGGTCCGGAATGTTCCCTCACATCTGAACTATAACCAACAAATCCTGGCCTGGTTTTCACCGGGGGAAAACTGCTGTGATCTAATAGTTCTCCAGATAGGTATTTTTGATATGTCTTTTGTCAGAGAATATCAGTATCAGGGGATTAATGATTATTTTAATTGTAATAAAGCTGCCTTCTGCCTCAGTGGCATATCAGACTAAAAATTGCTAATTTGGGATCTTGGGGTGGAAACAGAAGGAAATGGCACCTTGGGTGGCTTCAGGCCCCTGATGTCTGACAAAGCTAGACTTCCCACCTCCCCCAGGCCTTGCTAACCCTCTGCCCTCCAGTTTCAGCCCTCTCCTCGTGGCTGCCTTTGGCGCGTGCTCCCTCACAAGACAGTGCAACCACCAAGCCTTCCAGAAGCACGGCCGCTCGACCACCACCACTGACATGATCGCAGAGGTTGGACCTGCATTCAGCAGACTCTTCGAAACCTGAGCCAGTGCAAATGGGAAGAAAGTGGGCCTCGTGACGGGAGAAACTGCATTCATACTGGGAACATCCACTTCCAATAGGTCTGAGTCCTCTGGGTAGCAGAGCAGCCTGGACTGCTTGGGAGGTTTATAAGTCTAGGGCACATGGGTTGATGTAGAGAATTCAAGAATTGGGAATGCAGCAATTTTTGGCTAAATTAATATGCAGTTTGAGTTGTTATAATGCCACTAAACAAAGAACTTGAACTTCTCTTAGCTTCCCAGCAGTAACATAAAAATAAAGAATTATTTGAGAATGTGCGTCGGCCTGCAGTCCAGAGAGACCTGGGTTCGGTTCCCGCTAAGGGCACATACTTTGGTTGCAGTTTGTCCCCGGACCTGGTTGGGTTGTGTGAGTGGCAGCCACTCAATGTGTCCCTTTCATGTCGATGTCCCCCCCCCTGAACAAAAAATGGGAGGATTTCCTCGGGTGAGGATAAAAAAAGAATTATTTGAGAATGAGAGTCTTTAACCAGCTCAACTGAGTCTGTAGGCTTGCTCTAAAGTTGCAGAGTTCTGTTTTAGTTTAAGCTTATTTCTATTCTCTCTACCAATGCACTTCAGGTTTCTTTCATGTATGCAAGAAGTTCCCCTTATTAGTTCTCTCCAAGGGATCCAGTCAGTCATTTCCAAATAGCTTTGAGAATAATGAGTTTTGCTTTTCTGAAATTGAGATCCAAAGGATGTGACATTCATTCTTTAGCTAATTTTTCTTTTTTTAGTGATGATTATGTTGAAAAGGTCTGGGCAGAAATACTAAGCATTGGTTGTTTGGGTTAATTGGCTAAAGTATTCAGAATAATCAGTGATCAATTTGACCTTGGAAATCTTTTTGGAAGTACCATGGGAAAATCAGAGGAGGAAACTTAATGGGACACCAACACCTGGATGTATGGTGGGGGCCGGGAATACTTCGTATCTTACACCTCCCCTTTCCACGTCTGTGCACACAAGTCCTGCGGTGGCTGATGAGGCCCAGCAGAATGCCGTGAGTGGGAGGGATGGCCATTGTTCCTGATGTGACCCACTGATTTGCTTTCTTGGGAGCAGGGCTTCGGGATGCTGGGTCTGGTAGTAGATGGCACCAAAGGGTCCTGGGGGAGCCTGAACAGACAGAACAGCAGTCCTTCTGGTTTGAAAATAGGAAAAAGGATGGGTGTGTGCTCCGGAAGATTTAGATTCCATTAAAGAAGTTGATAACATCTGAAATTGTTGTGAATGAGGTGTTTTGTTGTCTTGTTAGCCTCTGGTTCACTTTTGTTTGGTCATATGGGTGGTTTTCATAGTATCCTGAGAGTGACCTGTTTTCTGTCATTTCTCCATGGGGTGTGGTTCCTAACAAGCATATGAGTGTAAGCTCACTGTTTATTAATGCCTTCTACAAGGGCAAGAACTGTCGGTCCTTTAAAAGTCTGTCCGCCCTTGATGATTACATGTGGGTGAAACTCTGTGGTTCAAATACGTCACCCCAAACGGATCCTACTTTTTTTTTTTATCCTCACCTGAGGACATTTTTGCTTTATCTTCAGATAGAGTGGGAGGGAGAAAGGGAGAAACAGAAACGCCGACGAGAGACACATAGACTGGCTGCCACCCACACAACCCCAACCAGGACTGGGGACAAACTGCAACGGAGGTTCATGCCCTTAGCGGGAACTGAACCCGGGTCTCTCTGGACCGCGGGCCAACGCTCTAACCGCTAAGCCAAACCCTCCAGGCCTGATCCTACTTTCTTAAAACCAGCCATGAACTATTAAGGTTTCTTTAAAAAAAAATATTTGCCACTGTTATTTCACTTCTAACTCTAGAAGTTTCACTGTTTACATGTAGACTTCTCCAGGAAAACTCATGGATATTTTCCCCTTTAATTACATCTAAATCCTGGTAATTATTAAAAAGCAGACCTGGCCCTGGCTGGTTTTGCTCAGCGGTTAGAACGTTGGCCTGCAGACCATAGAGTCCCAGGTTTGGTTCCCACTAAGGGCACGTACCTCGGTTGCAGTTTGTCCCTGGCCCCAGTTGGGGTTGTGTGGGTGGCAGCCAGTTGATGTTTCTCTCTCTTCCTCCCTCTCACTCTTCCTCTCTATCTGAAGATAAATGCAAAAAAAAAGAAAAAAAAATGTCCTAGGGTGTGGATAAAAATAAATAAATAAATAAAAAGCAGACCTGGTTTATTTCAGTGTAGTGTTTTATTTATTTTTTCTTAAATAGCCAAAACCCATCTTTCAACTTTCCTAAGTCAAGGACATTGTCAGGTACTAGGATCATAAACATATATAAGCCTGTCTAGCTACTATGTTTTTCACCAGTGCTTACCAATATTATTAAAATAAGTAATTTGAAGAATAAGCCTGAAATGTCACCATTTCTTTACACAGATAATAAAATTTAGCAGACACAGGAACTATTTCTGTGTATTTGTTACTTAAGCTTTTGCTTTATTTAAGTATAAAATCCCTCTGCTTAAAAGGGATATAGATGGGAAGCATACCCAAGCAGCCAGGGAATACTTTTACATGAAGTTAGTAATTGCTTCCTTGTTCTTTTATAAATCTGGTGCACTCACTAGTCCAGCTGAGGGCTTCCCTGAGACCAGGAAAGCAGCACAGAAGCACTGGATGGGCAAGTTAGGCATCGGCCATCAGGGGATAGTCGGCTCCCCCAGTCATGAATTGGCCCTGTTTGGATGTCTCCTTATAAGGGCCTGCCTGCCATCTGGGGTCTTCACTCTGCCATGCACTAATTGGGTCACTTTTAGCAAAGTCAGCTTCCAAACAGGTTTCCTTATCTGTAGAAGAGGAACACCAATGCCTCTGAGGGTCATAAAGGTCAATGACAAAGTAAACACTGCTGCCGAGCCGCAGCAGGCTGTCTAGGACTGGGCCTAGCATGTGCTTACCTGCTGCCCGAGGCTGCACCCAGCCAGGACCTGAGAGCGGGGGTAATCGGGTCACCCTGTTTCCTTCTGATTCACGGAACAGCTATAGCTCCACCTGCACAGAAAGGTGAGGGGGCCCGGGCCGGTTTGGCTCAGCGGTTAGAGCGTTGGCCTGCGGTCTGGAGAGACCCGGGTTCGGTTCCCGCTAAGGGCACATACTTCGGTTGCAGTTTGTCCCCGGCCCTGGTCGGTCGTGTGGGTGGCAGCCACTCGATGTGTCCCTTTCACGTCAATGTTTCTCTCTCTCTCTCTCTCCCTCCCACTCTATCTGTACAAAAATTGCAAAAATGTCTTCGGGTGAGGATAAAAAAAAAAAAAAAAAAAGGTGAGGGGACCGGGAGCAAGGCCAGTAAGCTTGGCCCCAGGTTGTCTGCTGTGCGCCCTCCCGTGCACTTGGCCGCCTCTGCCATCCCAACTTCTCCAGAATGACCATCCTCCAGTTCATCACTGTCCAGCACTTGAGATATAGGCTGTTTCCTCCTGCTTTGGAGCAGGCAGCATGGCCACATCCCCCCAAAATCCTTGGGATAAGGGGTATCCTAGAAGCTGCTGCTCTGTTGGCCCCCCATTCACAGGTCCTACCTGCCTTCCTATTATGTCTTCTGGGACCCCCGTTTAGGACTTACATCCTGGGCTCTGGCTCAGAGGCACAGGCCAGCCGGGTTATATCACAGATGAGATAATATTGGCTGATTAAACTGCACTTGAGTCTGTGGCTGTTGGTACTTTAACACATCTACTTTTGCCTTGGCCAGTATGGCTCAGCAGTTAAGAGGTCAGCCCATGGTCCAAAGAGTCATGGGTTTGATTCTGGTCAAGTCCCCGGCCCTGGTTGGAGTCATGTGGGAGGCAACCAATAGATGTGTCTTTCTCACATCCATGTTCCTCCCTCCCTCCCACTCTATCTGAAGATAAATGGAAAAGTGTCCTCGGATGAGGATTTTTTAAAAAATCCACTTCTAGGCATAGTTACACATCAATGGGATGGTATCAGTTTGATTTATTTTAATGTTGACTAAATAGCCACAATGGAAAACTTTAATGTAAAGCTCTAATGGCATAGGCAAGCACAGAACTGCATTGTGAGCCTCTGGTTCCCACTTCAGGCATCCTCAGCTCCCAGGTTTGTGGTCTTCTGACCTCTGACCCAGCAGTTCCCACGTGGATGTGCTGCTCCTGTCCTGGAAGGGAGGAAAAAATCCTGACTGAGCAGGCTCACGGCTCAAGGAGTAAATGGGCAAGACGGTCAGGACTCAGAGTGACAGGAGGCACTGCCTGTGCCCTGATGCTTCCATTGGTCTGGGCTGGCCACTTAGCAACAGTCACGCTGCTGCCTTCTATTGGCAGGCTAGGGCAGGGCCATGGCGGTGGGGGGACAGGATTGGGGACTGAGCAAGAACACAGGCCTGCTCCTGTATCCACCCGAGCCTTCCAGTGCACATGCCCCTGGGCCTCAGTGTCCTCCAGGTTCTGACTCCGACTCTGACCCTCTCTCAGTGTCCCTCTTGGCCCTGCCTCCATCCCCTCCCCCTATTCATCACAGCAGCATCAGCACAGGATGTCTGAGCTTTGACCTTCCCCCACACTGGGTGATGCCAGCTGGTTTACACAGCATCTCAGGGTCATCCCCATTGTGACTGGGCCGTGGTGGCAGCAGCTCACCTTAATACTGATGCCATGGGCGGCAAGGTCCTGGCGCAGGATGTCACATGCCTCCAGCAGGGGCTGCCTCTCTAGGAGCTGCTGCCGCCGGGCCTCCCTGGTAGCCTCTCCCGTGGCCAGGGCGAACTGCCGGACCTTGAGCCGGAATCGGACCAGCTCCTCCACCACGCTGTGCAGAGTGGCTGAGCCACTATCCCCTGAAACAAACTACACCCAGGCAGAGCAGTATAACCAGCGAGATCCTGGCAGCAGCCCAGTTGGCTGTGCCTGGCTAATGGGGGCCAGTGAGTTCTGTGCTAAGCCCATCCAGCATTCGTCCCCCTAGGGTGCAGTGGGGAACTCTTGGCCAGCGGTTCTCACCAGCCTGGGAAGATAGGCTGTGAGGTTCCAGGCTGTTGTTGAGTCTCCACTCTCCTCTCTTGAATGTCTCTATCACCCAGGCAGAGCTCCCTAATGCCATTCGGGGTGCCCACTGAAGGCATAGGGGTAATCTCGGGTGAGACCTAGAGCTGGCTTTCCTCCCCGCCCGTCCTGGACTCTCACTAACAAGCTGAGCGCAGCTGCTCCACAAATGTGCTAACATCTACAGATGTTTCATTTATCATCTACTTCACTAGGCAGTCTAGAAGTCTAAGCCTTATTAACCAATAAACCAAATCTATTCACTCTAACCAAGTATTCAAAAGCACATGACTCACAGTGTTTTCACTGGGAGCTGAGGACCAGCGGTGTCAGCACAGCTGGGAAAATTTCAACAGGTCATGTGGGATTTAAATCACTCCAAGTTGCCGGGAGCCCTCTCCCCTCTACACGATTTCTTCCTCCATAATGGAGAAGGGATCCTAGAGCTATTTGTGCTCATGTGTGTAAAAGAAGCAGAACCCACAACCTTTTACTTTTGGGTCAAACTTCTTAAACCTCATATGGTCCTCAATGATCTGCACCAAGTCAGGAATAGGCCATTTCTCTGAGAGGCCTGATAAAGGTAAATCTTGTTGTAGAAACCTGAGCTCCGCCCAGCCGGTGTGGCTCAGTGGATTGAGTGTGGTCTCATGGACTGGGAGGTCCCGGTTGGATTCCGGGTCAGGACACATGCCCAGGTTTTGGGCTCGATTCCCAGTAGGGGATGTGCAGGAGGCAGCCAATTGATATTTCTCACATTGGTGTTTCTCCCTTCCTTTCTCTAAAAAAATCAAAAAACATTTTAAAAACCTGAGCCCTCCATCCCCATCCCCCAAAAGACATGAGCCCAAAGTAGGCTCTGGTGTCAACCCTTGAGGTGGGGGAGCTGAGTGAGGTGTTGCTGACAAGAGCCAGGCACAGCTTGGCCAAGTCTGCCTTTTCTTGCTCAATTACAGATTCTGGAGTGTCTCATGTGAAAATTAATACAGACTTTGCAAAACCTTGGTCACCTCACACCAGTCACTTTTGTTTGAACTGGCTGACAGTCCCTGGACTGCTCATGAAAGGACATTAAGTCTACCAAGTTATTGATGTCTAGCAATAAAACAAACGGAAATTATCACAAAGAGACTGCAATTTGAGTTAAGGTCAGAGAAATTCACTGCACTTGAAGTTTGTTAAGAGATGTGCCCCAGCTCACAGGAGACGTCCCCAGATCATGGCACGGGGGCAGCGAGGAGCCAGGCCTCCATGGCTCCCACCTCTAGCTATGCCCCCCCCCCCCAAGTGGCGGGCTCCCCCTGGTGCCAGGCAGCTGAACTGACAAGGCAGCCCTACCCCTTCAAAGCAGAAAGCAGCTGCTCTGTGCCCGAGCCCGATGGCGGCGGCAGAACCTGGCAGAGCTGTGAAGGAGTGGGGAGAGGGAACGATCCCAGCACCCGTGATGGTCACTCATCTGCAGCCTGGACCTTTCCGTGTCACCTGCTCACATGCAGTGTTTCCTAAAGGGCTATTTCTGCCCTCCTTTCCCCATCCTCATCAGTCCTGAAGCCGCTGGCTGTAGCAGAGCCAAGTGGGCCCTGTGGAGGAGGAGGGCGGGCAGCCTGCCAGGGGGACGGCCCGAGGCGTGAAAAGGCTGTCCAGGCAGGGACAGGAGAGTCAACCTCAGTGAGGGAGGGAGGCCCCACAGTGGGAGACTGTGTACTGGGAGAGTAACACCTAAGGGAATACATGTAGGATACTGGGAAGCAGGTTTCTCACTATGGAGTTACGTATGGAAAGTGAGGAAAGTACAAAGAACCCTTTGCTGGGGACGAATCGAAGCGGTGGTAACCCCTGGGCTCCAGTGTATGCAGAGGTACAGAAATGACTCGCACGCCCACACACATCTCCCTGCTCTGCCCACAGGGGCCCGGAGCAGCTGCGGCCCAAGCACAGGGGGCACGCAGCGCTCAGGTCCTACCTTCTGACCACCGTTCTCTCCTAAGAGCAGCCAGGCCCTCGGAGAAATGGCCGATTCCTGGATTGGTGCAGAGAAGGTACCAGGCGAGACCTGACAGCTGAAAGCACCACAAGGTCTCAAGTGGCCCGTCTGCCACAAAGGGCTCACTGAATGGGGAGCCCAAGGGGTTGGGAGTAGACGTCCTGTGTAAGAGACACGCTGCGGGGACTAGCTGGCAGGTTACTCTCAGGTGGCTCAGGACAAATGTTCTTACTGTACACTTGTCTGTACATTTTGCCTGTCACACCTCCATGAGGACAAGCCTGGCAGGAGACACAGGACTACACCCTGGAGTTGCCACTCACTAGCAAACCACACAACTGTGGGATTCTTTCTAAATAAAAAGCATACAAACAAAAAACAAAAACGAGCGTGCACAGAACTGACGACATCCACTCTAGCTAAGATGCCCTGCTGGTTCTGCTCAGAATTGTTGCAGTTCCTGTTAATAAATACTAGCTCTGAGTGTTAACTTTTTAAGGAACATAATATATTTTAAGTACAGAAATAAATATGGCATTACATTTATCCATTAAAAAGTGAAAGATAGTTCTTATTGGACTAGCTTGTATATATTCCACAACTGAGGACTGAAAAGGGGAGTGTGTACCTGTCGGTCTGCCAGAGAAATTCCAACTGTCTCAAAAAACTGCTCAATGTAGGAAATGACGGAGCCGAACACGGCAGGACTTCTAGGACCGCCAGGTTCCTGTGACAGATTACCCAAAGGAGACTCTTTAAAAGCAAAGAACACTCGATGTAACAGCATAAAGACCTCACAGGTACTCTGCCTGTCACACCTCCATGAGGACAAGCCCTGGCGGGAGACACGACTACACCCTGGAGTTGCCACCCACTAGCAAACCACACAACTGTGGGGCAGGAACTTCTCCTGCCCCCGAGTTCACCCATCTGGAATATGGGGGTGTTATGGTCTGAACACCGAAACCAAACCCCCAGGATGAAGGTGGTGTTAGGAGGTGGGGCCTTTGGGAGGTCACTGGGTCATGAGGGCAGACTGGGATTGGCACCAAGGCCCAGAGAAGGGCCAGGTTGTGGGCACAGAATCAGGGTACCAACACAGGGCCTCCTCCCCCATTTCATATTTCAGCAACAAACTCCGATCCTTGAGCAAACAAGGGTTACATGCTCCTGACCTAGCAAACATGGGATGCTGACTGTCAGTGCTGGGACCTCACTGTGCCCCAGCCACTGCTCTGGGCTCGGGGAAGTGGCTGTCTCTTGCAGAGCCAACAGGCAGGCCAGCCACATTTGGGACGAAGTAGCTTCAGGAACTTAGGAGAGGCCTGGAAGCCACCAGCTGTGGGCAGTAAAGTTACCCAAGGGAGTTGGGAAGGCAGCAACTGTTCCTTCCTTGTGAGGAGGAATCAGGGAAACAAAAACCCTACTTTGTGGCCCCGTTGTCAGAGTTACCTTGGCGACCACCTTCAGCTGTCGGTTCCCCTGGTGAATGAGATCCATGACGGCATCCACCGCCCCGGGCGTGTCAAAGTCGTCCGCCAAGGCAGCCTTCACAGCAGCCTTGGTGTGGCTGAGCCTTGGAGAGATGAGAAACACGGGCGTCCCTCACTCCCCGGACCCACGAACAGCAGGTGGCCTCCCCTCGGGCAGAGCAGACGTGTGTCCCTCCCACCCCGAGCTGCAGCCCTCTCCTCTCCTCCATGTCAGACCCTCAAGGGCAGTCTCCATGATGGCCATCCTCCTCTCCTTCTCCTTCCCAGCCCCAAGGACACTCAGGTGCCCTCGGCCCGCCCCTCACCCTGCATGTTCTCACCTGCCACCTGCCACTGCTAAGGCTTCTCCACATCTAACTCCCTGCTGCCCATCTTTACTGGTCCTGGCCCCACTTCCTTTGGATTCCCCCTCTCCGAGCATGAGGAAGGACTGGATCTGGGCCACCTTGCAGCTGGGTGGGCCCTGGGACCAGTTCTGGCCATTGTGAGCTGCAGCGTCCACATCCGGGGCAGAGCGGAACTGCGGAGGCAAAGCCCCTGGAGCCTCTCTTCCCTCCGGACTGGCGCCCTCGTGGTGACAAGGGCCTCTGTTCATCACACTCGAATAAGCAGCAGCGGGAAAACCCACCCAGGCACATACGTTGTTTACAACCTTCACGGCCACCCCACAGGCAGGGCTCCTCATTTCTCACCCAGCGGACCAGTACCCAAGGCCACAGAGCCTCAGGGACCTTCCACACCAGCTCTCCCAAGTGGCCGTGGTCTCCGCAAGCCTCGTCCCTCTAGGCGGCCCCACGTCTGGCACCCAGGGCTCTCTGGGCGGATGCTGGGCGCACCCACCTCTCCCACAGCACGTCTTCCCTGACGGGGCCGCACGCCAGCTGCCCCTTCATGTAGGCCCGGGCATCCTCGACGAACGCGGCCACGGCCCGGAGGAGGTGCTGTGCCTCCAGCATGGTGCTGTCGCTGTAGTCAATGGCTGAGGAAGGGGGAGTGGTGACCTGGGGGTGCCTGTCGCAAGTGCCCACACCTGGCAGACTGCTTACTACTCAGCCAGTATTCTGGTATTCCCCACGTACTGTCAGAATAGTCTTGCCCAAGCTGTGCACAAGCAGATGCTGTGGCCATCACCCCAGAAGGCCTCACTGTTCAGCTCACCTGACCGGTAGCTGCTCCTCATGCAGAAGAGCCGGAAGACATCAGGGGAAAACGACTTCAGAAAGTCCTGAGAGAGAAAACGAGACAGACGCACAGTGCTTATCTCTCATGGTTGGATCACTCAGAGATTATATTATTTACTACAATTATGTGAGCTATTTCACACATCAGGAATGTTTATGAAAAGCTTTGTTTTGTTTCCAAACCCACTCTTTCCTGTAATTCCCCTGCTGGTCTGTCCAGGTTCAGTCCCAGTGTCTGTGGGAGGCCGAGAGCAGAGGCCCGTTTGCCTGCAGTCCCCGCTCCACACAGGCGCAGTGGGAATCTGCTCTGCTGTTGGCCTCGGGAGCTCTAACCACGACACGGATTTCTCACCCTCGTCCTGAGAGTACAGGGACACAACCAGAGGCCACCAAGCAGCCTGGAACCGCAGAGGGCTTGCACACAGGAAGGAACGTGGAGAGGACAAGGGACACACAGCTCCTGGCTGTGTGAGAGGGACAGGATCCCAGGGGCAGGAAGGAGACTCCAGAAAACTTGGCTGTGGTGACGTCAGAACAAGCACCGTCCATGCTCAAGGTTGGACTGAGGGGCAGGGGCCCAGTTCATTCTCTCCGATGACGTGGCTCTCTGAGGCACTGAGCTTGAAGCAGGCCTCACGCTCATGTTTCTCAAAAAATAAACCATCCTGCCTCTGATTAAATATAAGTAAAACAAAAACCCAATTAGTATCATCCTATAGGTTATTTCCACAATGTCTATATAAAGAAGTGAAAACTTCCATATCAGAAAGGATAACATGGGAAAAGCTAGTAGAAATGGTTAAGACAGCACAATATTCAACAAAACCTCTCTCTATGCTGGTCAGTGGAAAATCCTACATGATTTTAAAGGGATAAGACACGGGGTAAGAGAAGATGGGGAGAAAGGGCCCGGCCTCACAACAGACTCCACTGTGGCCCCAGGAAAGACATTGGGGCTCTGCTCAGTTCTGCCAGGGCTACCCCCAGTGACCGTGCCGCAGACTGACCAATGCTGGGCACCGGGGGAAAACGGGCTCGGACAGGACTGTTTGACAACAGGGAGTTTGAGTAAAAACCAGGACCATCCTGCTCCTCATGGATTCTCAGTTAGTAAAAGGAGACGGTCTCAGCCCTTTTGTACATCTGTCCACCTCTACTTGTCCAATGGTATCTTTGGCCGCCCCTCAGCAGCAGTGACCCAGCATGCAACAGCTCAGAGAAAACACCTGGCCAGGACCCCGTGCCAAGTCTGGCCAAGTGGCTCCTCTGTGGGGGTTTAAGGACGTTGCTCAGAAACTGGACGGAGCACCTGCTCTGGCTACGTGCTGGCTCTGGTGCATGGATTCTCACTAAGGGGCACCTGGGCACCCCTAACAGGGTCAGACAAGGTCTCGCCTGCTGGAAACGGGTCTCCGGCAGCACCCTGGCCAGCAGCCGCTCTGTCCTCACTACCTGCCACTGGCCCAAAGGCCAGTCTCCTGCTCCTGCACAATCCAGTCCCCCAGCCTTCACTGACCATCCCAGACAACTCGGCCTTCCTTCTGGTTCCTGACACGCTGCCAGGGCTACTGTGAGGCTGTATGCCGTGTCTTTCCTGTATTCGTGTAATGCACCCGTGCAGTCACATGTCCTACTTTTCTTCATGTTACTCCCTGTTTGAATCTCCGAGGATCCGTGTGGAAGGAAGCATGCCACTTTAAACTAATGTAGTTAATACACCACCAACAGTAACACCAGATAAATAACATTGCTACATAAGCTTTGTCATTTATAAAATGCTAAGCTGTAATATAATTATTAGCTATCCTATTATGGTGACAAAAAGAAAAGGCTTAGAGAACTGAAAACCAATCACAAAATGCCAGAGGTCACATTCCAGCTCCAGATCCTGCTTTTTTCCCCTAATAAATCCTTCTTATGTCTTATTTGCTGGGCCATTTCCCCACTGTGGTACTTCTGAGGACTTTCCAGTTCCAGCTCACTTGAATAGTGCTTCTCTGAACACTTACTTGCACAGGGCTGTCTCCTGCAGCACTAACTGCCTTTTCTGTTTCTGGGTAAGGCTCTGCCCCGAGGGACCCCAGTAAACACAGCCGAGGATGCTGATCTGAGTTTCTGCCTGGAGAGCACAGAGGGGCACACAGATGACCACTCACCAGCATGCAGAGGGCCTTTCTGGCCACCTTCTTTGACTCTTCCCCTTGTTTTCGAATTACGGTAGTTCCCCCTTATCTGTGGGGGTTACATTCTAAGACCCAATTGGATGCCTGAAACCAGATAGTATCAAACCCTATATATACTATGTTTTTTCCTATATATACGTACCTATACCAAGTGTAATTTACAAATAGGCACAGTAAGAGATTAACAATAATAAAGTATAATAATTATAATATATTGCAATAATAGTTACATGAGTGTGGCACCATTTAGTAAAGTAAGGGTTACTTGAACACAAGCACCATGATATTGTGAAAAGATCTGATAACTGAGAGGGCTACTAAGTAACTAATGGGCAGGAAGTATGTACAGCATGGAGATGCTTGGCAAAGGGATCATCCCAATTGGGATGGAGCAGGACAGTGCGAGAGTGCATCATGATACTCAAAACGGTGCATAATTTAAAACTGTTTATTTCTGAAATTTCCCACATAATAATTTCAGACTACAGTTGACCACAAATTTAGGAAAGTGAAATGGCAGGTAAGGGGGGGCCACTGTATTTCTTTAGACTTCTTTCCCTAAAGCATAGACAACTGCTTTATAGCTTGTTACTAGCTGCCTTCCTGTTCTGGCAGATGATGTATCAGGAGACCTATTCTCCAACTGCCACACTTACCTTAGGTGAGGATTCGTTGTTGCTGTTTATTTTGCATTTGATAAATTATCAGACCTAGTTGTTTTCAACAGAAGCAAAAGCTGTGCATTTCCCCTCATGTGACCACTATCAGAAGCGTTATGTGCAGTCTCGCACACACCTGACCACATATCAGAGAGAAACAAATACGCCTGCATCAGTTCTCCACATGCTTGTGCTTTCTTTGAATCTGATTCCTTTTCTTTCCATGCTAACTTTCTGCATTTAGTTCCCAAATGTAAAAACTGTTTCATTGGCATTTTATGTCTGATAAAGTTCTTTGGCCTTTCTAAAAGAAATCTCTCTCCTATTTTAGTATTTTATATTTTCTGGATAGCTATATTTTCTACTTCACTCCATGAAGGATTTCAGGTGGCTTTGTTTTTTTTAGTGACTTTAAAGGGTATTTCCTCCCAATCAGCATGTGCACTCATTCAGATAAACCTTAATGTGTATTCACAAATCTAAGTTAATAGTTCTCCAAACCCAGCAACGTAGAGCATATTTTCACCACTCTGGGGGTGCTCCCATGGAGTTAAAGTAGTTCAAGAAGAAATCTAGAATCTGATCTTTTTATAGCATTCAGTTTCTACGACTATTTGCTAATAATAATTATGTAGAAAGTGCAGAGCAAAGGAAATAATCAACAAAAGGCAACCTACAGAACAGTAGAAAATATTTGCAAATCATATGTCTGATAAGCAGTTAATATCTCAACTATATGAAGAATTCATATAACTCAATAGCAAAAAAACAAAAACAAAACAACAAAACACAAAAAACCCTAAAACAAATAATCCAATACAAAATATGGGCAAAGGACCCGAATAGACATTTCCCCAAAGACATACAAATGGCCAACACGTACATAAAAAGGTGCTCAACATCACTAATCATCAAACAAATGCAAATCAAAACCACAATAAGATTGCACCTCACACCTGTTAGAGTGACTATCATCAGAAAGACAAGAAATAACAAGTGTTGGGGAGGATGTGAAGGAAAGAGGACTCTGCACTGTTGATAGGAACGTAAATGTGTGCAGCTACAGTGGAAAACAGTTTGGAGGTTCCTCAAAAAATTAAAACTTGATCTACCATGTAATCCAGCAATTCTACTTCTGGGTATATATCTGAAGGAAACAAAATCAGTATCTCAAAGAGATATTTGCACCCGAAGTTCATTGCAGCATTTTTCACAACAGCCAAGACATAGAAACAACCTAAATGTCCATCAGTGGATGAATGGATAAAGAAAACGTGGTATTTATAGACAATGGAAAATAATTCAGCCATTGGAAAAAAAGAAGAAAATCCTGCCATTGCAACAACATGGATGAATTTAGAGGCCATTCAGTCAGACAGACAAATACTGTACGATCCATTTACATGTGGAATCTACAAAAACAGAACTTACAGAAACAGAGAGGAGGAGGATGGTTAAAAGGGGCTGGGAGGCAGGGAGGAGATGAGACTGCTGCTCAAAGGGTACGAAGTTCCAGTCATGAGAAGTTCTGGGACCTGATGTACAGCACAGTAACTACAGCTAGTAATGCTGTACTGGATACTTAACCTTTGCTAAAAGAATAGGTGTTGGGACTAGGAAAATGGCGGCGGAGTGAATGGAAGCAACACAGACCATCTCCCAGGACCAAACTGGAATTACAACGAAAATAAAGACAAATCGTCAGGAAAAGGCAACAGAAAAGCAGCTTGGAGGACCACATAACCAGGGACACTGACTCAATCCTGGTAGGCTTGCGAGGACACGAGAGGGGGCCAGGAGCCCATGGTCCGCAGCGGCCTGAGCTGGAAGCTGCGCCCTCGGGGGGGGACCTGCGGCAAACTCTACTGGGACCTGCGGCCCTGGCTGGGACCTGTGGTGGCCTTGGCTGGGACCTGTGGCCTCAGCTGGGACCTGCGCCCTCAGCTAAGTGCTGCGCCCTCAGCTAAGTGCTACGCCCTTGGCTGGGAGCTGCTGTAGCCTCGCCGGAGCAACTGCCTTAGCTGGGAGAGGCGCCCTCGGGTTAAAGTCCCAGGCGGCTCCACAGCGCAGAGCCGGGACAGAGTCTATTTTAGCAGCAGCCACTCACCTTGGGCTCAGGCAGAGGGAGGGCAGACTGGACTGGAACTATGTGGGGACACTCGGGATTTGGAGGGCACTCAGAGCTTTTGCTGAGTGCAGCCA